CAGTGAATGAGCCCCCACAAGGCAAACTATTCCACTGGTTGATTGTTCTGTCAGGAAAAAAAATATACTTCATTTTTTCTCTTTATTATTGTGGTCTGATTTGAGAGTTATGTTGACTGAAGCATTTTCCACCTGCTTGTACTGGTTTTTTTATTTTGGACAATTTCAAGGCTTTGAGATTTTCATAAGCTACTTCAAGAATACAGGAATGCTTATGAATAAATAATATATATTCTAGAATATCTATTTTGTTGCACATAGTCTATTGACCTTACAGATATATCAACTAAGTCATCTATCACATATAAATATTTCATTAAAACAAATATAAAGAAAAACATTAATAAAATTGCTAATTATGAGATTTTTTAAAAAATCCAGTCATATATAAAGATGGAACAATAATTAAAAGTTGACAATCAACAAATAATGTTGTGGAATATATGAAATTTATTTATTTATTTATTTATCATATTTAGGAACTACCCATCTCTCTCACAGTGATTCTGGGTGGTGTACAAATAACATACTAAATGCATAAAAACAATATATAAAGTATACATAAAACTACTTGCATACACAGATGCAACTGATATATAAGAGTGACCAAAGGTATACACGTTGCCATGATTGTCCTATGCTTTCAGAGCTGAACTTTTATTGTTTTTAATCTTCTCTAAATTTATAATTAAATTACATGATTTACATTACATCGAATACCAAATATTAATGACAAGATCAAAAAGCTATTTAGCAATACGTGCAAAAACATAAGACCTGAATGTTTACCTTAGACATAACTTCTTAGGAAATCTTAATCTAATGTCCAGGATCTTCATTTCATTATCTCCACGAACAAGAACACACATACACAGATATATCAACAATTTATTTAATCAAAGGCTGCTTCAATCACAGTCACAATTCTAGGTGACTTACAAATAGAAATAAATTAGAACAACAAAAACAAAAACAAGGAAATAATCAGAAACAATAATATGACTTCACATTCCATGTCATAGAAAACAGCAACTCTTTACAAAATAATACAGAACATACTTTGGCTAGTCAGAACCCAAACCACCCGGCCCCAGGGCCTACTAAAAAGCCAGGTCTTATAGGTCTTAGGAGCTCTCTAAAAGATGATAGGGTCAGGGCCATATGGACTTCCAGAAGAATGATGTTCCATCGGACAAATCTAGGTATAGAAAGATCCTCCAAGGTCCTGCAAGTTTCCTCTGCTTTACCAATGGGATCTGGAGCAAAGCAACCTTGGAAGATCTTACCAAAAAGTTCCAGAGTGGGCAGCCTGTAGGTAACCAGGAAGCTACAAAGAATTGTAGCTTATGGGAGACAATTAGTAGCTTGAATTGCATCCAAAAGCCAACTGTCAACCAGCACAGCTTGTAAAGTAGTGATGCTGTAAGAGCGAAATGACCTACTCCCATAACTACTTGCACTGGTGCATTCCATGCCTGCATTCCAAGTAGTCTTTAAGGGCAGTCTTACGTAGAGTTGGAATGGAGGGTAGCTGATCTTTTAAATCAAAAGCCAGACTTATGTGCTTCATCACATCCTCACTGCCAAACCAATTGGAACTAGAGAGAACTGGTTTGGAACTAGCAAACCAGAGAAGAGAATGATTGCTATAGAATAATGTTCTCTATCCCCAACCCCAAAAGTGGTCCAAAAAGAAAGATATGATCAATTTATATTGAAAGTTGCATAGAGATCAGGCAAGGCCAGCCAAGTCACATCAACCCTGCCCTGCCCCACCAGAAGTCTTCCATAAGTGTGGTCAGTGTCATCTTAGGCATTCTAATCTAAAGCCTGACAGAAAAGTGTGCAGACAATCTATTCCTTTGAGAGCCCTCTAGATTTACAGCCCTACTACTTTCCCCAAAGCAAGGAGTTTGGAAACAGGTTGAAAAATCATCTAACACTGCTCAGTCCTAAAATGACTTTTTGAAGAAAAATTCAATACTTTTCCTCAATACTACCTTTTCAAGAAGGTAGTTACACCTCCTCACTTAAAGATGAATTTACCACAGCTTGAACACAGCCAATAGCAACTGTTTGGGCAGCCTTAACCAACTAGAAAGGATAAGGATGTATCAGCCATCTGGCAGTACTAACACCTGAAAAGATCTTGTCCTTGTTCCCAAGAACTAGGGCAAGATCCAGCTTTAATCAACTCTATAGCAATTGACCAGTCAAAGCCAAATGGATCTGAGTGATTTTATACATCACATGCCTACAATGGCTCAGTAATTCCTTACAAAGATTACAGGTAGCCTTTTCTTTTTACTAACTTCCTTATTTAGTGACTATTCGCAGTTACTACAATGATGAAAAAATAACTTTACGGCCAACCCTCACATTTACGGTCTTCACAGGAAAGATTGTAAAGCAAAGGAAACCTGAAGTAAGATCAATGACTGAGTTGCTGATCCCAAATGTGGTCTTTAAACAAAGACATGTTCTTAATACCCCTCTCTCCCTAAAAGGGTCAATGGTAAAGGAACTACTGCTCAGCATTTTGCAGCTGCAATAAGATTCCCCTCTCCCCCGCTAAAATATTTCTTACACTTCTGGAAGCCTTGGGGTGCCCAGTAACCACTGTATAAAAGCTACTGAGTGGTGTTCTAAGGGTCACACATGCAAAATCTGTGCTGGACAGAAAGCACCAAGACTAAAAATAATTCCCTTTTTATTAACAAGAGTTAATAAGATTACCTCCAGTGTGTTCAAAATTGCTTTATAGTGGAGAAAATAAAACCAAGAAATGAAACGGAGGCTGCACCCTTTCCCTCCATCTTTTGGACATGGCCAGGATCAAACCCAGCTCCTCTCTTTGTATAATCCTATCAGCCCTCTATTGACTCTCCCTACCCACCCGTGACAAAGCCTTTGCAGTTCCATCTAAACCATAGAAGCGTCCTCGCAAGCTCATAACTCACTGCGTCACGTTGCTGTCATGTGACGTTTTGCGACATTTTCCCCATTTGCAGAGCTGGGGTGGGCATGATCTGCGCGTGACACATCCAGCTCATGGGCCTCCAGTTTGACTGAGTTTGACTATAATTATTATAACTGAGTATAATGAATATAACTGACTTTTACTATAATTATTATAGTCTAAGGACAGCCTAATAAGGGATTTGCAGCATCATGGTAAGATGAGGAACCCCTATCTCCCATCCTCAACCAGCCTGTTGACTTCAACATTCCAGCTCTAATAATTGACTTCCTTCCGGAAGGTCCATTTTGTCTAACCACAGGATCCCCACCTAGTAGTTCTTTTATAAATTCTATTCTACTTTTTTATAAACATCTGGCTTTCCATTTTTCAGGCCCCCCTTTCTTGGAAATCATCCACCTAAAGATCAAGAAAGCTTGGTTCTTCTCCCTATTGAATCTTCCGGGTGCGATTCAAGGTGTTGGTTACCACCTTTAAAGCGCTCCATGGCATAGGACCCGGGTACCTTCAAGACCGACTTCTGCCACCAATAGCCTCCCACCGACCAGTCCGCTCCCACAGAGAGGGTCTCCTCAGGGTGCCATTGGCCAAGTTATGTCGGCTGGCGACACCCAGGGGGAGGGCCTTCTCTGTGGGAGCCCCAGCCCTGTGGAATGAACTGCCCCCGGAAATACGTAAGATCTCCGACCTCCGGGTGTTTCGCTGCGCACTGAAGACCCTGTTGTTCTGCCAGGCCGGGCTATCAACATAACGATTTTAAATTGGGGTATTTTAAATTTTTGGGATTTTAATTGGAGCCTAATTATTTAATGATTTTAAATTTTAATCGTTGTTTTGTTCTGTGTTTTTAAATAGGCTGTACACCGCCCTGAGTCCTTCGGGAGAAGGGCGGTATAGAAATAAAATTATTATTATTATTATTATTATTGTGCTCTTTCGGACTGAAACCATAATACCTTCTGTATACTAAAGATTACAACTGGAGGCCCTCTGGCTTTGTGGGTGGGACACCCAAGGCCTTGACATTTGTGCCACCATGTCCTATAGCTAGCAGATATCTCTCTTGAAAGAACACCTGCTGCTGTTTTCTTACTTTAGTGATAAGGCTCACCCTGAACATTGGACATATTTGAAGTGAGGTTGATAAACCTTTGATGATTAAGGCTGGCTCTAGTCCAGAATGCTTTTTACTGGAGCTAAATATACCATGCTTAAAAGCATCTTTTAATATATGGGTCCTCTTCTGGATTGATACCTTTGATAACTGCTTCGTTAAAGAAGAACCCTATCTACCTGGGTCAATCTTTGTCAAATGATGTGGGGTGCATCTGCGAAGTTAGCAATACTCCACGGTTTCTCCCTACTTGTCCTTACGTGCAAACGGCTGCCCTTTTGCTCTGTACCTTGGCAAAAGTCGTTTTGTTTCCCTACAGCCCTGCCAATAAATTGTCGCTAACTTTGGGGGAGGTGGCTGACATCAGAGACACACACGCACGCACAAAGGCCAGCCTCTGAGAGAGAGAGAGAGAGAGAGAGAGAGAGAGAGACCGTCGTCGTGCGCAGAGATCTCCTTTCTCACGCGACTTCGCCACAGAACGCGTGGCCAGCGGACCTTCCCCAAGTCTGCGGGTTTCGATGCTGCTCGTGCAGCAGCGGCAATCGCCGTTGTCACCGACCCACCCTCAACCCTCGTCCAATCGCCTTCCTAGGGTGGTCGTCATCTCTTTGACGGATGGGCTAGGGCTGCTCGGCGCGCGCGGGCCAAGCAAACAAACAAACAAACAAACGGGGCCCCTCTTTCTCCCGCTCTCGCCTTTCCTTTCCTTACCCACGCGCGCGCTCCGGCGCTTTTGTCCCGGTTTGCCTACTTCGTTGGCCTCATGGAGAGGGGGAGTAGGGGGGCGGAACCTCAGCGCCCCCTTTAGCCAATGAGGACGTTCGGAACATTGAAGGACGGGGGGGGCACCCCCGAAGAAGGCGGGGCGCAGAAGCGCATCTCTGGCTGGGAGGCCACGCCTCCTCGTGGGCTGCGCCTTCAAAAAAAAAAAAAAAACCACCTGGAAGAGGCTCGCGCGAACGGCACCGCCTTGAGGGCTGGCTCGCTCGTGCGACAGGCGGATTAAAAAAAAAAAAAAAAAAAAGGCACAATAATATGCAAATCGGGCTCCGAGGTTCTTGAGTGGTGTCGCCAGCGCGCGAGGGGAACGTTTCTCTTCGCGCCCGGCGGCCAAGTTCTGGCTCGCGCTCCTCCTTCCTCGACGCGGGGCATGTTCTAAGGAGCGCCGAGCTTGTAGCCCAAGGCCGCCTTTCGGCGCTTCGGCTTCGCGGTTATGTCTCCCGTCAGCGAGGAGGTGGAAGCGGGGAACGCTCCCTCCGCTCCGCAAGAAAGTGAGTCGGCGGGCGAGGACGAAACGAAAAAGTGGAACGGGGAATGGTGCCCGCGGGAAGCCTCGCACGCCTCCGGGGTCGCAGAACTGGACTTGGTGGCTGGGCTCGGGGCGACGCAGGGTCCTTCCGAGAAGGAGCAGGGTGAGCCGCCGCTGTTGCAAGGGCACCCGGAGACGGCCGAGCCGCCGGAGGGAGGCTGGGGCTGGGTGGTCATGCTGGCCTCCATGTGGTGCAACGGGACTGTCTTCGGGATCCAGAACTCGTGCGGAATCCTCTTCAAGTCCTTGCTGACGGAATTCGGGGACCCCGAAGACGAGCAGCTGAGGTTCAGGACAGGTAAGGGAGGAAAAGTGGGCGCCTCCCCAGCTGCCTTTATAAAAGCAGGCAGGCGATGGGTCCGGGGATTCCTCAAAAGGCGAAGGGGTGGGGAAAGGGATGATGTCCCGTTCTTGAGCACAGCGGGAAGGCGACGGGAAGAAGGAACCGAGCCGCTTTCCTCCAACTCGTGGATGGGGCTTGTAAGCCCCACGACATCTGCAACATCTCCCAAAGTTGGAGTCCTGGACTGCATGACAGCTAGATACCCGCCTCCTCAGTGGGAGTGCTGCGTGTCCTGCCCAACGGTGTCCTGCCTCCCAGATCTGTGCTCTGTGCAGCGCTCTGTGTGTGTGTATGCAACAAATGCAAAACTCTGCTTTGAAATCTATGCCGGAACATTTCTTTACACCGACTATGGCATACCTTTTTAATTGCAAGAAAACTGTACCTCTGCCTCCATGTAGTCCTCGGAATCAGGCTGCCACAAAGATAGGGACATCTTTATCTTTTTCTTTTTTTTTTAGTAACCTAAAACTCTGTATCTCTCATATCTATGCAGTCATATGGTCTGGGGATCCAACTGTTTGTTTGACATCCTGCATAAAACACTTTTTCTCTGGTGTTCTCACCTTGAACTCCCCCTCTTTTTTTTAGTTTTTTTTTTAATATCAAAAGCCTTGGTAGTACAGTGGTCTAAAGCACCCTGTTATTAAGAGCAGCTGCCTGCAATTACTGCAGGTTCGAATCTCGCCAGGCTCAAGGTTGACTCAGCCTTCCATCCTTTCTAAGGTAGGTAAATTGAGGACCCAGTTTGTGGGGGCAATAAGCTGACTTTGTATAAATATACAAAAGGATGAAGGCTATTGCTTAGCACATTGTAAGCTGCCCTGAGTCTCTGGAGAAGGGCGGCATATAAATCAAATTAAAAAAAAAAATATTGTTGCAGGGAGGGATGCCAGTTCTGATCTGACAGTGGCATGGGGAAATTTCTTTGTAAAAATCTAGTTGTTTTTGTACCACAGGGGTGGCATAAAGCATTACCTCTGTGACCTGTAGTTCCTTCTCTCCATCTAAAATAATAGAGAAATTGCTCTTTTCTCTTGTGTAAGAAAAGAAAAACATCATCCTGGAGGCAAGGATATCCTGGCAAATGCCACCTTGTGTTCTAGGGTTATATGAATTCTACGTGGCTACTCTTACTTGTTGAATAAACCAGGAAGTATGACAGCTTCCGAAGCACATTCAAGCCATGCGTGTATATCATTCTAAACTACAGTAGGTTGGCTACGGTTTAGCCTAGTGTGTTGTGCGAACCCAGAAATTTGAGCTAAGTAAACTATAGTTAACCATGTGTTAGCCTGTAAATATCACCAGTACAACTCAATAATCAAGTTGAAATAATATTTGCTGGGTAAAATTGTGAAATACAAATACAAAAACAACCACATAGAACTTAAAATCATGCTGTTCTCATAGAAATAATAATACAAGGGGGAAAATTGTTAAGGCATATAAATTTAATTTAAAAATATAGATCTTTTTATTACATCTTTATTTTAGTCTTTATTTTGTGAAAATAAAAAACCGATAGAAATTTCTAAAATGTATACTATAATTAGAAAAATGTTTTTATCATTCTTTTTGTGAATGACAGTGTTCCCCACCCAAATAATTTGAACTTAAAATGATTTTAATTTGTTTAATATTCCAGATCTAGATATGCATTGTTATATGAACTTTATAAGGAAAGCTTAATAGCTAGTATTTATGACAATGTGTTTTTTCCTTCAGTAAAAAAAAGCTGAAATTATGTTGACTATCTGTTGATTTCAGTGTAGACTACAAATCTCTATCAGCTTGTGTAACAGTTCCATTGAACTCAGCAGGATATAGCAATATATACCACTTCATAGTGCTTTACAGCCCTCTCTAAGTGGTTTATAGAGTCAGCATTTTCCCCCCAACAATCTGGGTCTCCATTTTACCGACCTCAGAAGGATGGAAGACTGAGTCAACCTTAAGCAGGTGAGAATCGAACTGCTTGCAGTGGGCAATACAGCATTCTAACCACTGCGTCACCATAGCTCCTCTATATTTCCATCTACACATGTGTAGGATTACATTGTTGGTAATTCACTGCACAGTACATTTTTGGAGGTTGCCACTCAGTTGTACATTGCAAATCTAAGTATTATACATATATTTTTTACCCAATTGCCATTCGTCTGATTTGGGTTAATATTTCTTTACCTAAAACAAAATTAGCTAAATTAACATTTTAATTTTAATTCCTGACAGCACCTTTATCAGATTATTTTGAAAATCATTATTAGGGGAAACTGTCATCGACATAGTGTACATGAGTTTGGGCAGACTCAGGGAGACAATGGCTGGTGTGCTATGAACAACAAGATTGCATCTTCCTATTATGGTTTCAATGACTGCAAATGTCTAGTTGAAACTGAGCATGAACATCACTTATTCACTGAAAAGTAAGTGATAAACTTTATATAATTGCTTTGACTTGGGCTCAAGGAATATTTAATTATTATGTATTTGAGTTAGAAAATTATCAATTGCTGTATTTCCCCAAAAATAAGACCCTGTCTTATATTTTTTGAAACCTGAAATAAGCGCTTGGCCTTATTGCCATGCACTCAAAAGCCCGATTGGGTTTATTATCAGGGGATGTCTTATTTTGGGGGAAACAGGATAAGTAATTTAATACGTCTGGTTAGCTTGGCATTGAATATAGTAGAAAAGTAATGACATCATTACATTGTTGTTTCTAGTTGGAATATATTAATCTTTTTTTAAGAAGCAAGTTTATCTGACGTTTTATGATATGTGTACATTGTGTAAATATATATCTACGTTAATATAATCTGTCATTTTAATAAATAGACTAAGTTCTAATTTCTAGCTAGAATAAATTGCACCTTAGGACTGATACAAGCTGAATGAACGTAGACAGCAGCAAGTATGGGCTGAAATATTCAAATCTCTTTGTGGGACATCTGAAAACTGTCTCTTGTTATTCTATACAGTAATAGGGGAAGAGAAGGTGGTGTAGTGCAGGGACTAGTCTAGGTAGTTATTAGGAATAAACAGTGACTCAGAGCACAGATTTTTTTAAAAGGGAAGAGGGGAAACAGGTGGTTTGTCAGGAATAAGGTCAAAGGATGTAAGCAGCGGAAAAGAGATGCCACCAGGCTTTCCTCACTTAAATATATTTATTGCTGAAGTTTTGAAGGTATTGTTATTATTCAAACTAACAGGCTGCTACAAATGCAGGACTAAGGCAAAAATAGACTAGATAGAATCTATTTCCTTTGTACTAGGTCCTAGGACAACTCACCATGGCCACCTTGCGGCCAACGTGCCACGGCCAACTTGACGCAGCTAACTTGTGGCCAACGTTCCGTGGGACAACTCACTGTGGCCAACTTGCCATGGGACAAGAGTTAATAATATAAAAGAAATGGTAAAATAGAATCATTAAAGGATGCCAAAGGAGGGACAAAAAAGAAATGTGAAAGATAAAAATTAAAATAGTTTAAAAATTAATTAAAATGATTAAATAGACAAGTCTCTCTTTGCCTTCATAGCAACGGTAGTGGATGGGTGTAAAAGTATATCTTTCTTATAACCAGAAAACATTCATACCAAGCATCTTTAGAACTGTGCAGAAGAAAAGCTTAGAATGGTAAAAGCCTTTGGAAAAAGGTGAAATAATTATAATATATAGGAATAATTCTAGTGCTGAGCGTGAGGGACTGTTCCAAATATGTGGTAAATAAAAGAAGCAACTGTGTTTTCTTCACTTGTTTAAAATATGCATTCATTCAGCTTCAGATCCTTCTTGTGGCTCTCATCAAACAACTGCCTCTTTGTTAATTCTCTATCCCAAACCATCCATTTTCATATGTTTCCTGAAATAAGTTGCAGTAAGCTATATGAAATGTATTTGAGAATCAGAATCTCTAAACACAGCATTTCCTTATAGAGGAACACAGAAACACTGGCATGCTGAAATGACCATCTGATATAAACAAAAAGAAATTTACAGAACAAAATCTGCTTTAGACTACTTGAAGATACTATTCGATTGGGAATAAAAGAGATGAATATAAAAACACTTGTTTTATTAGTGAATATTGAAGTAATTATTACTTTAAAAAATGCATCACAAAATGCCTTGTTTAGTGATTGCCTTGTTTAGTGACCATTTGCAGTTACCATGTTAATGGAAAATCAACTCTTTCTGTGCTGGTTACTTGTTTTGAAACAGAAATTTTGTTGCATAAGACTGCACAAACTTTGTGGTTTAAAGTTTTATTATGGTGATAATTTTTTTTGTTCTTAATTCCATGACCTCATAAATTACTTTTTGTTTGCAGAGATAAATGAATCTGTAAGATTTTCACCCCAGAGTCTACATTTAAATCCATGCTCCTCTAGAGCAGGGGTGTCAAGATCGAGGCCTGTGGCCCAGATGCAGCCCACAGGGTGTTTAGAGCTGGCCTGCGAAGGACCGGCCTGCCAGTGAAAACAGACCTTGGGAGGGCATGTGCAGCCCTCCCGGGCTCCATTTTGACCACAACGGCCTCCTGCAGCCCTCTGCCAGTGAAAACTGAGCCCGTTGAGGCCGCATGCAGCTTCCCCAAGCTCCGTTTTCGCTGGCAGAGGGCTTAAGGAGGTCATTGCAGCTGAAAACAGAATGGGAGCAGGCTGCGCGTGGCCTCCCTGAGGTCCATTTTTGCTGGCAGAGGGCTACAGGAGATCGTCGCGGCCCAAAACAGAGCCTGGGTGGGCCACTTGCGGCTTCCCTGAGCTCTGTTTTTACTGGCAGAGGGCTGCAGGAGGCTGTCGCGACAGAAAACGGAACTTCAACGAGTGACGTTGAGCTGACCATACCCATCTCGGCCCCCTGAGGTCAAACACAACCCTGATGCAGCCCTCAATGAAATTGAGTTTGATATCCCTGCTCTAGACTAGAGTCTTCAAAAATAAAGATA